CACAGGGTGGGGACTCCTGGGCCCTTGCCCTCCAGGAAATGGGGGTGGGTTTCCTCCACATAAAGAATCTTCTCCAAAAACCATCTGGGGTGACCCCTATGTTTCTCCCCTAACAACAGTTTCCATGGAAAATGGACTGGGTCCAGCTCCAGGATCCCCAGAGAAACAGCCTGGCTCCCCATCCCCTCCCAGCATTCCGGAGACTGGTCAGGGTACAACCAAGGGTGAAGGGGGCACTCCAGCCCCAGCTTCCCTGCCTGGGGGCAGCAAGGAAGAGGAGGAAAAGGCCAAGCGGCTGCTCTACTGTGCTCTGTGCAAGGTGGCAGTGAATTCCCTGTCCCAGCTTGAGGCTCATAACAAAGGTATGGACTCTCCTACCCCCACCCCTACCCCTGTCCTCAGCCCACTCCTGCTCCCTACCTCCTAATTCCCCTGGTTTCCAACACCCTGGACCCTCCAGGACTTACTAGCCTATCTCCCTCCCAAATCATATCCCCCCCTTCCTTAGCCAGTTTCCCCTCCACCTAACTTCTTCACCTGTGACTCTTCCCTGACCCACCTTGTGTCTGGGGGCATCCCAAGGGGCTTGGAAACCCCCCACACTTGATGCTCCCCCATATTTTAATTGGGAGTGTATTTGTCACCTACTGGGCCTGGAAAATTTTTCCTCCACCCCTTACCTCTGCCCTCTGTGGGCTCCAGGTACTAAGCACAAGACAATTCTGGAGGCCCGAAGTGGGCTGGGCCCCATCAAAGCTTACCCTCGTCTGGGGCCTCCCACTCCTGGGGAACCAGAGGCCCCTGCCCAGGACCGAACCTTCCACTGTGAGATCTGCAATGTCAAGGTCAACTCGGAGGTCCAACTGAAACAGGTGGGTCCAAGGCCTTTCCCAGGAACTCTAGGGAGCTCAACTCACTAAGTGGGGAAGAGAACAGGGAGCTTGGGTGAGGGCTCTTCTTTCAGGGTCTGTCCTTGGTGCCACAGAAAGGGCGGAGCCAGGTGTTTGGGGTGTGCCTACGGGCCTGTCGGTTGCCCCTTTCCCCGCGGCTCACAGCCCCCTATCCGCTCGCCCCCACAGCACATTTCCAGCCGGCGGCACCGAGACGGCGTGGCCGGGAAGCCCAACCCGCTACTGAGCCGTCACAAGAAGCCTAGGGGCTCCGGGGAGCTAGCGGTGAGGCCTGGGCGCTGGAGAATTCGGCCACGGGGAGACCGGAACTGGGAGGAGGAGGGGACGCGGGGCTGGCCCGGGGAGAGGTGGGGTGTGTGCGCCGCAGAATGACTTCTCTCTTTCCCCGCCCTTCTCCCCCCTGCAGGGCACGCTGACTTTCTCCAAGGAGCTGCCCAAGTCCCTGGCCGGTGGCCTGCTCCCCAGCCCCCTGGCGGTGGCTGCGGTGATGGCAGCGGCAGCAGGCTCCCCGCTGTCCCTGCGCCCGGCCCCAGCCGCACCTCTTCTCCAGGGACCGCCCATCACCCACCCCTTGCTCCACCCGGCCCCCGGGCCCATCCGAACTGCGCACGGACCCATCCTTTTCTCCCCCTACTGACCTGAACCCCAAACCCCCTCCCATTCCCCCCCCCCCCCCCGCCACCTCCAGCCGGGACCCAGGCCTCCAGGCTCCAAGCCTGCCCTTACTCCCGGCACTCCCTGAATGATCTCTCTCCTTCCCCCCCACCCCGAGGTACGGGGTTCCAGGAAAGGGGAGGGGTAGCGGGGGAGGGGGGCTTCAGAAGGGGGGGAACACCCCAGATCTCAGGGAACCCCGCCCCCTGCCCTTCCCTCTCCCCTAGAAAGGGGGGGCCGTCTCACCCCCGAGCCCCCTTGGAGACACCCCCCCTCCCAAAAGCCATGTCCATTCAGCCCTTCCCCCCCCAAACCTAGCACAAAACGGGGTTCACAAGCCATGGTCGGAGTCCGGGGGGCAGAAATGGATTTTCTTGGCAATAAGCGGACTCTGGGACTCCGGCCCCCTGCCTCCAAACTGAAGCGCTTCCGTGAACACCCCCGTCCTCCGCAGGGGGAGGGGAGCAGGCGGGATCCTGGGTCCCTCAAAAGCACTTTGGTTTTACCGCCTGCAACCTCACTGTGCCCGCCCCGCACCATGCCCCAGCCCCAGGTCTAGCTGGGCCCATCGCAGGGGGCAGCACTTGGGGGCATCTCTGGCACTTGGGTGGGACCAAGTAGATGCCCCTACAGACCCTTCCCTCACTTTCTTCCTCCCCAGTCTGGATTCCATTCTTTTCACCAGCACCCATCGCCCAAGGGGTACCGAGGGGGGCAAGGGGTGTCCAGTTCAAGCCCACCCCCGCCTCGCCTTCCGCAAAACTGTGAGCAAAAAGCAATAGAAGCCTCGCCCCCGCCCCTCCCCTTTCTGCAGGATTCGCTGAGTCTGTAGCCTCCCCCGTCCCAGCTCCTAGACCTCATGGCTGTCCCTCCCACCAAACACCTCGACTGCACAACTCGGGCGGGGGCGTGACCTCCCTCCCTCCCTCCCTCTGTGGTTTCCGTATCGTCAGCCCTTACAGCAACCGACCGGGAGGGGGACGGGCCCCCACTGGCCTTCCCGTCCCCATCAACTCTTTATGCTTGACGATGTAGCAACCCCGGCCCCCCCACCCACGTCTTCCCTTTTCCCTCTCCCTGACAATAAAGTCTGGATTCGTTGCCCTCTGTCCCCCAGACTCAGACTCTCAATCTTGGCCCCCTGATATGGGAGCTGTTACAACGCGAGATGGATCTGTATGGTGAGGGGGACCGGCACACGGGAAAGGGGGCCAGGAGGAGGGGGACGGAAAGACAGAAAGATCCGAGGCTTGTAGAAAGCGAGCAGAGGCTCCCAATCCCACTCACCCCCACTCCCGCCCAGCCCAAATGTAAACTTGGCCCTGGGGAGCCATTTCTGAGTCCAGGTCTCGGATTGTAGACGCAGCTGTTGAGAATTCTCCACAACTCCACCAGGCGGCGCCAACGACATGGAAAAGGAGTCCCCCTAAGTGTGTCTCACGATTCTGGGAAACAGGTCTAGATCCAGTCTCAGACAAAGGAAAGAATCCAGGCTTTTGTGCCTCTCTCTGGTGGGAAACCCACGCCAGCAACACGCAAGGAATGGAGAGAAGTCGGGGCAGGGACTAGGAATCTCAACTCCAGGCACTGCTGGGCCTCATATAAATAGTGACCTTGAGTTAGTCCTTCCCCTCTCTGGACCTCAGTTTCCCCCGTATGCAAAATGAGCAGATTTGGGTCTCTTAAAAGTTCACTGAGCCTTCATGTTCCAAGACTAAAGAACTGGGACTGTGCCATTTACAGATAGGCAGATAGACTAGAATCCCTTCTCTTCTGGTCCCCTAAATGGTCTGTGGGACAGAGAAGCACACTCTGTTCAGCTGCCTCCCACATGATGTGGGGGAAGGCACTCCTCATTATCTCCAGAATTCAGTTCAACCAAACACTCCCAAGAGCTGTATTGACTCTGTGATGCCGTCCCTCTAGCCCTGCTGAGTGGCAAGAAAGTAAAACAAGGCCAGACCAGAACCCAGCATCTCCCCATGTCCCCCTGAATTGCATCCCCTTTGCTCACTTCCCCCTTCTCCACCCACTTCCCAGTTTTTCAGAGGAAAGGGGGAGGAAAGGTGAGATGATGATTGTTAAAGAGGAAGGAGAGGGAAATAGAGGCCTCCTGGGTTTGTCAAGTATGAATTTGGGGGTAGGAGTTCACTGAGGGTTTAGAAATCGAACGCAACAAGGAGTTTGGGAGTGGTTGGATTTTTGTTCTTTGTTTTTTCAGATCTAGCTAAAAAAAATGCAGAGACTGGAGATCCAGAATTCTGAGGAGCAAGAGTGGCCCTCTAGGAGAGAGGGTGGTGAGAAGCAGGGGCTGGGTTACATGTGGGGATAGAGATAGCAGCTAGAAGAAACTGGAGTGAGAGGGGCTGGGATACATACCTCCAACCTGGTTTAAAAAGGAATTCATGATACACCCCATTCCCTAAGCCTGCTGCTCTGACCATTCCCTATCTTAGTGATGCAGAACACCACCACCCACTGGGAAAACTGGGAGTCATCCTAGTCGTCCCTCTTCCTAAAACTTCATCCAATGCATCATTAGATAAATACTATTTCTTTTCTTTTTTTAAAAGATTTTATTTATTTATTTGACAGTGAGAGACACAGCGAGAGAGGGAACACAAGCAGGGGGAGTGGGAGAGGGAGAAGCAGGCTTCCCGCAGAGCAGGGAGCCCGATGCGGGACTCGATCCCAGGACCCTGGGATCATGACCTGAGCCAGAGGCAGTTGCTTAACCACTGAGCCACCCAGGTGTCCCTAAAAATAAATAAATTAATAAAAAAAAAAAACTGATGGCGGCCCCAGATTTGGTCCGTAAGCCAAAGTTTGCTGACCCCTACTTTAGAGAATCAATTAAACATGTATATATTTACATATCTTATATTTACATATCTATGTCCCCTGCTAGACTATGTGTAAGCCCATGTACATTACCTTCTTGTATCCCCAGTGTCTAGCTCAGAGTCCAGTGCATAGTAGGCACTCAACATGCATTAGTTGAGTGAACAGATGAATGAATGTTTGAACAGTGGCCTGCGCCCCTGTGTGGAGTGAAGCCAGAATCCTGGATGCTTCTTTTCCCACCTTTCTTCATCTGGCTCCTTTTATCAGATGTGTTAGGGTATCACATGCCCCCCACCCCCGATCTGAACCATCTCTGAGTCCCAGAGAGAAAAAAGGCAGTGCTCCCTCCTAACAAACTCAAGGCTTCTAGGGTGTCCACAGCTGCTCCTGAAACTTGGTTTTCTCTTTGGCCCCTAGAGAAGTGGCCCAGATATTCTGATGGTTTGTCTGTCTCCACGCCTGGATAATTCTTGGCAACGAACTTATAAGTGTCCTGCTATGCAAAGAGGGGAAGGAAACAGAGGTTAGGTCTTTAGGAAGGAGTGAAACAGCCTTGGTGTTAGTACCGGTGGATTTTCGACACAGAGGCCCAGATTGCACTAGCCAAAGCAAAGGGAGGTAAGGGAGGAAGTGGCCGAGGTTGGGTAACTAGGGGATTTCTTATTCAGTTTAGTATAAGACCATGTCTCGAAACCTGACTGTCCACCAGAAAGAAAAGACTGCTCTTCAAATGAGTTGGACTTCTCTCCACTGGAGTGAGAACTGAAGACTGGGAGACCCAGGTGAGTACTTTTTGTGGTGGGTGTACCTTTACTTTCTCTGTCTCCTCTTCTCCCAGGTGATAAAAATAGGAAAACAAAACAAAACACCTGAGGCCTGTGTGTGTGTAACAGACAAGGGCAGGGGGGACTATAGTAGCATCCTGAATAGAGAGGGGGGACTCCTGGGTGGTCTTAGGGGAAAGGGAAAAGATTAGAAAGTCAGAGGGTGTTAGGGTTACTGAGAATATCTGGATGGATATTGAAGAGGCCTGAAGTTTGGAATGGACAGACACAGAGATATTTAGATAAGAATTTGGGGAAATTAGAGAGAATCTGTGAGAATGGGAAAGGACTACGGAGCCTAAGGAGAGGACTGGGAATCTCAGCAAGGGTTGAGGATGCAGAGGCCTGGCAATGGCTCAGGAGGCTTGGTGAGCTTCTAAAACAGTTCAGGTGTCCAGGGGCCCAGAACTGTTCAAGAGATCTAAGTCCAAGGCCAGGTTCTGACTCCTTCTTCCCCTTACTCTTTTTTTTTTTTTCTTCCCCTTACTCTTTCCGCCTCTTTAGCCTCCATCATGCAGAACAACTCCGTCACCAACTTCTCCTGCTACCATGAGTCTGTATTGGGCTATCGTTATGTTGCAGTTAGCTGGGGGGTGGTGGTAGCTGTGACAGGCACCGTGGGCAACGGGCTCACCCTGCTGGCCTTGGCCATCCTGCCCAAGCTCCGTACCCGCTTCAACCTGCTCATCGCCAACCTCACAGTGGCTGATCTGTTGTACTGCACCCTTCTCCAGCCCTTCTCTGTGGACACCTACCTCCACCTGCAGTGGCGCACTGGTGCCACCTTCTGCAGAATCTTTGGGTTCCTCCTCTTTGCATCCAATGCTGTCTCCATCCTCACCCTCTGCCTTATTGCCCTGGCACGTTACCTCCTTATTGCCCACCCTATGCTCTTTCCCCAAGTTTTCAGTGCCAAGGGGATACTGCTGGCATTGGTGAGCACCTGGGTGGTGGGCATGGCCAGCTTTGCCCCTCTCTGGCCTATCTATACGTTGGTGCCTGTAGTCTGCACCTGCAGTTTTGACCGCAGCCGAGGCCGGCCCTATACCACCATCCTCATGGGCATCTACTTTGTGCTGGGGCTCAGCAGTGTTGGCATCTTCTATTGCCTCATCCATCGCCAGGTGCAGCGAGCAGCACAGGCGCTGGATCAGTACAAGCAGTCCAGTGTCCAGTCCAACCACGTGGCTGAGACAGAGGCTATACCCAGTCATTTCCAGGAGCTGGACAACAAGCTGGCCTCAGAAAGGCCCAGTGAGGGGATTTCGTCAGAGCCAGTCAGTTCTGCCACCACCCAGACCATGGAATGGGACTCATCAGAAGTGGGGAACCAGCACAGCAGGGAGGTAGCTAAACACATGGCAGAGAAAAGCCATCCAGAAGCACCAGCCGAGACCAGGCCAACTAAAAGAGCCCAGAGAACTCAGGAACCCCCATCAGAGTTTGGGAAGGTGACTCGGATGTGTTTTGCTGTGTTCCTCTGTTTTGCCCTGAGCTACATCCCCTTCTTGCTGCTCAACATCCTGGACGCCAACACCGCCGCTCCTCGTGTTGTCCACATGCTCGCTGCCAATCTCACCTGGCTCAATGGTTGCATCAACCCCGTGCTCTATGCAGCCATGAACCGTCAGTTCCGTCAAGCCTATGGCTCCCTCCTAAAACGAAGGCCCCAGAGTTTCCGTAGGCTCCATTAGAACTGTGTCCCCAGTCACCAGAATCCAAGAATGATGCCTCCAGAACTAAAGTGGCCAGCTGGTAGGGAGTAGGTGAAAGTAAGACCTGTGGGCATTTTCACAGACAACTTTCCCCCCACTCTCAAACCAGGCTTCTCCATCCCTTGATCAATGCTTCAGCTCTAGATTGCCCAAGGTGCATTATTATTAATAAATGAATTCTATCCTTTTAATGCTCAGGTGTGGTCTTTGGGGAATAATAGGCCAGCACTGGTTGCAGCTGGAACCTAACAGTTGAGAGTTTGGGGGGTACCTATGTCATAGCAGGGTTAGGAAGCACAGCCTTCAACTGAGGGGTTTCCAAGTATAAAACATGAGTTGGTTTAAGAGGATCCACCTGTCTTTTTGTTTAACTTCCCAGAAACGGCCTCTGCCCCTAACGACTGCTGCCAAGATCACCCCATCCAAGCAAACAGTTTTATTGAACTCAGAAAAGTTTTGTAATCCAGCTTTGATAGCCACTCCAATGAGTCCAGACCCCCAACCCTTGCCCTATCCAAAGAGAATAGTCTTGGAAGAAGGACGCCTTGCTCTGTGGAAATGAGCTGAGCTAAGCTGAAGCAATGGCAGACAGGGAGGGGTTCCAGCTACCCTAGCATTCACAAAGGTCAGAGCTAAATCAGCTGAAGTCCTGGCCCCTCACTTTCCCCAGACTTGTTCTTGTTATCCTGGGTTATGAGAGCAGAACAGAGACTCTAGTTAAGAGAGTTCAGGGGTCCAGCTGAGGGGAGACCATATCATTCCCTTCCTCTAGCATGACCCACATCCTGTCAGCCCAGCCACCCACATGTGTGAACTTAAAGATAAGTACCTGTGTCCACCAGGTGACGCTGGTTCTCTGTGTTTCCTTTTTGGTGTCCCTGTTGAGGACAGAAGGTGTCAGAGGGACTGGGAGCCCACAGACCACCTCCCACTCAGCCAGCAACGGTGATGACCCAGAGATCCGCACCTCTCTCTTTTCCCCAAAGCTTAGGGGGAAAAGTAATGAATTAGACACTTATTATTCATGAGATATTTATTGTCTATTTAGTTGGGGTTGGGGGAGCAGGGTGGGCACTGTGCAGGCACTGAAATGTGAGAGTCATCATGACAGTAATGCTGCTCTGGCCACATGCTATCCCCTCCCTGCTCCCAAGTCCATGTTTTGAGGGAAACAAAGTGAAGACCAGAGAGATTCAGACAAGGACAGAGACAAGCAGAGTCGGGGTGGACAGATCAATGTCTTCACATTCAACACACTTCCAAGTCCCAGGAACCCTGTGTCCTAATCCAGAACATGTATTTCTGAGAGTTCTTCCACAAAAATCACAGCAGCCTAAACTGAGTCAAGTTCAGGCTGCTGAGGCAGGGGCCCAGACAGGTGGGGTGAACAGCAGAACCAATAAAGAACATTAGCCATTAGCCAGAGAGCGTAGAGACAAGAGTTCCAGTCAAGGCTTTCCGATAATTAGCTCTGTGAATCTGAGCAGGATCCTGGACCATCTGGGCCACAGGTTTTATCATACAAAGTTCGGGGTGGGGTGCAGTCTTACCATGTGCCCAGTGCTGTCCTAAACCCTATATATTATTTCATGTAATTCTTACAAAATTTACCATGAAGTATTTATTATAATCACATTTCTACAAATGAAAAAATTGAAGCACAAAGAGGTCAAGGAGTTTGTCCAAAGTGGAAGAACTAACAAATGGTATGACCATGATTTGAGGGCAGAGTATCACTTCAGCCCACATGTCTAACCACCACAGGACACCTGCCTTTCTAAAACTAGAATCAAGTTGACAGATAATCTCTAAAAGTCCTTCCTGCTTAGCCCTTCTTAGATTCTGAAAATTGACAGTTCTCTGAGGGGCTGTAAAAGGGCTCGCTTTTCATATTCCTTGGAGGCAAGTAGAAAGGAGCAGCAATAGAGATTGAAGTTAGACCTAAGGGGGGACTTCCCAATTATCGATCGCTGGAAAAAATGACTCACGGGACACAGGAGGAAACTCGGGAGTCTGAGACCAGAGAGGCCAGATCTTAGCAAAAAAAAAAAAAACAACCCCCTCCCCTCTCACCCTCCACGGCCCACGCACACACACCGCCTCTAATTTCGATAAAAACCTAGGAAAAAGAGGCGGAAGAAAAGCAAGGTTCTCAGGCTCTCTCCTGTCGGTGTGCATGGCGCGTCTGTGTCCACGCACGAGGTCTCTCACGGTGCGGCGCTCACGCGTGTCTCGGGGAAGTGTCTGTATTTGGGGGCCCTCGTGAGTGTGAGTCAGTGTCTGTCTCTCTTTGTCTTTTTATCTCTGTCAGTCTCCCGCGCGAGCCCGGGCTCTATCGCTGACTTTCTGACGCTATCTCTCAGAGCTTCTCTTTGTCTCTCTCCATCTGTCCGTCTCTCCTGTAGGCTGTCTTCATCTCTTGTACCTCTGTTATCGCCTTTTTTCTCCTAAACTCCTCTCTCCCTCCTCCCCACCTCCCCACCTCCCCTCCCCGCTCTCCCCGCGTCCCCTCCCCAGTCCCCCGCCCCGGCCGTTCTTGCTCGCTCGCACGCTCTCTCTCTCTTTCGCTGTCTCTCGCAGGCAGATTTATGGTCAGCCCAGGGCTTCTCATTGGTCAAATGCTGACAGCACTTGATTTAACGCCTCCTCTCATTGGCTGAGCTTGACAGGCCGATTTACGAGTCACTCTACCATTGGCCAAACAGCCTTGGCCCTGATTTATGGCTCAGTGGCTGCGGGGAAGGGGGGGCGCAGCTGGGGAGTGAGGATGCCCCTCCCCTCGCCACCGCTTCCGTCTCCGTCTCCGTCTCCCCTGCTTTCTCCTCTTTCTCTCCCTCCCCTCAAGGAACCGCGCTCACTGTACCTGTTCCTCAGCCCCCTCCTCCCTTCTCTTTTATCCCTCGGGAGGAGAATTGGGGTGTGGTGGTGGGGGGGATCCGAAGCAGAGGATGGGAACTGGAGGGGTAAACATGGGTGGGGGAGATCAGAGGGGTAGGGGTGGGGTGACAGTAGAGTAGGGAGAGAAGATTGAAGAGGGAGAGAGAATGAACTGAAAAGCGAAGGTGAAACTGAGGGTTTCAAAGGGGGTGACGGGAAAAAAGGAAGGCTAAGGAGAAAAGAGAGACTGAGGGACAGGAAGAAGGGGATCTGAGGAGAAGAAAGGAGAGACTGAAAAGACAGGGCGCATTTGAAGGGGCAAATGGGCTGAAGCGAGGGGAGATCCGGGAACTGGGAGACTTCTTTTCAAACCTCACTATCCAGACTGAATAAGAGACTGAAATTTCCCTTCAGACAATGGCCCTGAAGAGGAAGAGGCTTAGAGGAGCAAAGGCGCAATAGAGAGGTCAGAGAGAGGGGCAGGGAAGGAGAACTGGAAAGTAATGGCGAAGAAAAGGGGGAGAAGGATGGAGAACTAAAGGAGAAGACAGAACTAAGGTTGGGGGGGGCGTGTAGTGAGAAAAGACTAATCCCCACAGGAACTACTGAGAGAAATAATGCCTACTCCTCCTAAGAAGACCTATAGGCGCCTGCATGGGGTCAAGTCCGGCGCCCCCCCCTTACCCCCCCATGTTCTACTTCAAGGCTGCGGTGGGCTCCCCTCTCTCTACACGTCACTCCTCCCCCTTGCCCACCTCCCCAGTTAAATTTATGAGTTCAGGGCTGGCCTTCAGGAATTAGGAATATTTATGCTTCTTTGAGAGTGAGGTTTGGAAGGTGATAAATAAGGGGCCGTGGTGGGGGGGGTGCAGCTGGGGGCTCCTATTTTTAGCGTGACCACTTTCCCAAGGCCCCCACCCACCAGTTCCCTCTCATCCTGAGCCAGAGGAGGTATCGCTGAGGGAGGTGGGGAATGGGTTTCAGATATCAGGAAGGGGGTTTGACTACCCTGGGGAACCCCTCAGAGGACTGCAGATCTTTGCAGCAGAAAGGATTGAAGGCAGATGGGGGAGGAACTTTCCAAGTATCCTGGCATTCTTATAGCCCCTAGAGTGCAGTTACAGCATTTCTGCAGAAGATGGAGAGAAATGGGGAGAAGCCAGTTTCCCCTCTGCTCCCCTAAGCTCAGTTGCTGAGAAATAGGGGAGAAGAGCCAGGAAATTCAGAGGCAGGATCTCTGGCATGTCACCTCCCTCATAGGGAGAGGAAGATTTGAAATCCCCCACCCCCCACAGACCACTACCTGGGTCCCTGGGAAAGAAGGCTAGGAATGTGGGGCTCAGGGCATCTCCTAGGAGTCTCGGCCTCCAACCTGTCCACCCCCACTGCTGGCTGAGAATTAAAAACAGCCAGTAGTTCTTGATACTCCCTGCCCTGGGCCTCCAGGAAATGAGGGAGGGAGAGGATCTATTCCATGATCCACATGCCTTCTCCAGCCCTCAGCTCGCAGAACCATGCGTTTGTGACCCCCACCCCAGTCAGAGGGCTTGCTCTGGGCTTGGGTAGGTAGTGAACAAAGATAGGGATTAGTGGGATGGTGGGGGGGGTTGTCTAAAGAGAAGAAAGAGAGCTGGAGAAGAGCTGCCCCCTCCCCACATACTGTGCCCTCCATTCACTATGGCTTTAGCAAGGATGGCCACAGTGCCTGCATGCAAGCACACACACCAGACTCTGCTGCCTGGAGTGGGAGAAGGGAGGGAGAGAAGGGTCTAGACTGGCCCTTTAAGAGCCACTTAGGGTCAGAAAGCCTGGGCTACAGAGAGGGGAAAGGAGCTGATGTCAGAAGACGGATGGGCAGCAAGATGGGGATTGATGCTAATGGGGGAGTTAAAGCTAAGTACTCAGACACTCAGAGGGCAGAACTGCAGATCTGTCTTCCTTATGCTCACCCCCCCACACACACCAAACCAAGGCTGTAAATCTGCCTTCTCAATTGGGGGAAGGGGGAGCGAGGAAAAACGAGATGCTCTTTTCCCTTTTCCTGTTTTTTCCTTAACCTGTGCCATCCCCCACCCCAATTCCTTTGTCCTCTCCCAATCTATGACCCTTCTCCCCTAAAATTTCCAATTTTTTACTTTCCATCAGGAATTGAGGTAGTAATTTCAGCTTGTAGAAGGAAACCACAAGAAGGTCTCCTTCGCCAAATACCGGGTGGGAAGGGGTTGGTGGGATTGTGGTGAGAAGCCAGTAAGCTGGAAGCTCCCAGTTGCCTCAGTTTCTCTTCCTTCCACCCTCCTTTCACTTGGAGGTAACT